AATATTAAATATCTAAAAATACTATCGAACTTTCGTTGTCCTTGACGCAGCATCTTCCAAGATATAAATTAGTGAATATTTTTTTTTTTTTTTGAATTAATAATTATCGAATATCGTTCAAAATGAACGAACTTTGAAATATTTTAATGTTATTTTTTTCAGGATAATTATAATTTTCCGATTTCAAAATTAAAAATTTTTATTGTCGTCAGTAATATCAAATTGCTCAGATTAACCAAACTTTCGTCATTTATTGAAAGTAAACTATCGAGTTATTACTGTACATCAATAATTCTAAGACGAAAGCCGAAGCTTATTTCACTTGGCAAATTTAAAATTATTTGATATTATAAAGTGTCTAAAGATATAAATGACTACGACAAAAATATTCTATAACATTAGAATCATTAGTTCAAATGATAATTTTTTTTTTTTTTTATATTGTAGCATTCGAAAGATCGCATTATCTCAATTTCAAAATGGTTAAATAACTATTTTAAACCTTATTTTCTAAATGTTAACATATAAAACAAAGATAATCTATAAAAATATTTTTGGGATACATTCAAAGAAAGATATATAATAAATCATATGAATAAGAAAACTATAACTAGAGATGATAGCAGTCGCTCAACGGTCGGTCAACCGGTCAGTCATATGCCTTTGACCGGTGTTACGCCTGGAATTGAACCGAAATATCTTAAAAAAAATTCTTGACTCGGTTTTCTTCCACAATTGCTAAAATATTTGTAACTGCACTTTATTATTCCAAAGATGCTTCGAAATTAGTAACTACTGAATGCGCCATAAATTAATTCCTTATATATATTTTTTTTTAACATCTATCAAAAATATTTGTTATAGGGACAACCAAAATAATAAAAATGTACATTAAACTAATAATAGAAATTTCTAAAAGCGGGAATATAAAGTACCCTAAAAAAAGTAATTGCGTTCGCGTGATGAAAGCACGAGACAGAATAAAAATGTTAGTTTGCGTCAAAATAAAATCGGCGGAAAGTTCTTATTTTTATTTTTATTTTATAGATTAAACAGTACAATTACAACATATGAGATTTTAAGATCAACAAACAACTCATGTAACAATATATGTATAAAAATAAATATTTATTAATAATTATGATAAAAATAGGAAAAAATGAAAAGAACTTCCTGTGTAGGTTCTATTAGGAATTTTTAAAATAAATTTTTGTATCTATAAATGAAATCATATCAAAAGGTAATTTACTAATGCATTGCCATTACTTTTTTTATGTCCTCCTGGAAGGTTACACGTAAAAATAAAATAATATATAAGATGCGAGTCGTTTAGAATCAAAAAAGCAAAGTCCAACTTTTTACCTTGTAACGATGAAAATTAACATACACAAACATCCTATTGTCTGTCTAACGTTACTTCTTCTATTTCTTTTAATCGGGCTTTTGCTAGCGTAAATCATTATTATGTTAAATTCACTTCTTCATCGTTCGATTCATCTGTTGACCATATTGATGTCCAGCATGCCAACTTTCACAAAGAGCTAAATAAACTTGGGATCAATATTAAAATTAAAGATGTATTCAAAATATATAATAACGGAATTAGCATCGAGCCGATGAACGCCATGTAAAACGAATTGCTGAAATAGAGCACGTTGAAAGTGTTGATTTTGTAGTAAGATATTAATGGCAAGGATTGACATTTGGCGCCGTATACTGATTTTCATTTACAACTTCACTTTTAGAAAATTTATAAACGAATGAAATAAAATTGAATAAACGTACCAAAGATTATACGAACTTACTTACCCCTAATGATAGCAACAATTCTGTTCATGAAATGACTGGCGTTAAAAGAGTTCACGAAGAATTGTAACTTTCTGGAAAAGGCGTTAAAGTCGGAATCATTGATTCAGGTATTTTAAATTGTTTTATTTTTAACTAAATCACGAAAACCTTGGTTCTTTGTCATTTCATATCCTCTTTTTATTAGGTATTGACTATAACATCCCGCACTTGGATGGTGGTGTTATGGACCAGGATGTAGAGTAGTAACTTTATTGATGATAATGATGATCCATATGATTGTGTTGGACATGGAACTCATGTAGCAGCAATTGTTGTAGGTGATCTGAGGGGTAATTGTCCCGGATTTGTGGGGTAGCACCTTTGGAGAATATAAAATATTTCCTAGTAAAGATATGAAAGATGAACCTACAGATATTACGGTAACGAAGCTATTCTGAAGGCTGTCGATGGTGGAATGGACGTCATAAACATGTCTTTTGTAAGTGCATTAAATGAATTTATATATTTATGTTTAAAAAAAACTTTGTACTGACTCAAAATTTATAGGGAAAGTACGATAACAATAAAAACATTATGGTAACGTTGATCGATGATTTGGTCAGATATAAAGGAACAATATTCGTAGAGTCAATAGGAAATGAAGGTGATTGAAGTGTTTTATTTACTATTGGAATGCCAGCTATTGCTCAACAAGTTATTGGAGTTTGTTCTTTTGAAACAAATGAAGTTATAAATTTTATAGCCTTTGATCCGAAGAATCCTTATTATTAGTAAATATTGTATATTTATCTAAATTTGCAAATTCAATCTAAAAAAAAAAATTAAAACATTTAACCAAAGATTATATGGGACTAATGCAATAGAAAAGGGGGAAACGGCTAGAAAAAATAGAAATTGAATTAATGCTAAATCTGAACATATTTTAACCTAAAAATCATATTTGGCATATAAAGTAAAATTGATCTTTTTTTCGGCTTTTCCCCCCTTTCTATTGCAAAGGTCCCATATGACACAAGATGTATCAGCATTTCCTTTCCAAGAACGCTAAGATTAAATTGCTTCCAAAAAAGATGCATTCATGATTACAAAGGTTTTAAAAATACAATAATTATTCTAGATTATGTTGAAAACATAATGTTCACAAGATATCGATGCTGTAAATTAATTCATTTAAAATACTTATTTTAATTTATTTTTAACATTCATTTGAAGATAAATTTATTTAATTTTGTTTATAGACGAAGCTACTTGGGGTAATTGCAATCAATGATAAATTTAATGAAGTTTGCCAGCGCCCCCATGGCACTTATAAATACAAAGAAGCCGATATGTTGATTAAATATCTCGAAAAAATATACTAATTTGGAATTAGATTTTTCCGATAAAGCATGGATATATGAAATCTCATCCATTGCTGAAATTCCGAGTTGGATATGTATTATTTATTTCATGGGGGTTAGGAATATTATGGTTTTTTCCCGAAGGGAAAAAACCATGGTATTTCTAACCCCATGAAATAAATGGGTAATCCCCACTAACACGTGATTATGCATGATTAGCGAGTTAAACTTTTTTTAGCGATTTAACTTTTTTTAGTGATTTTAAAACTTTTTTTTTGTCATTATTTTTTTCCCACGCTTCATTTTTTCTTTCTATTCCATATTATTCAACTTATTTTTCTTTTTACATTAATAATGACAACGCGAATTGTTTCATCAATTTTAAAATTTCAGAATGCATCAAGAAATGTAAATACAGACTAATCTAACAATGTGAGGATAGGTTTATTTATTAAGTTTCGTGAAGCCTGTGGTTATTTAAATGAAATTGTTGAATTGGATAATAAAACATTATCTGCACAGTTAGAACAATTTTTAGTAGAAGTAAGAAAATCTAATGGCGAAGAATATAAAGCATCATTACTATATGGGGACCAGTCCAGCAAAAGCCGAGGTTCAGCCAAAATTTTGATTTAAAATTTTATCATATTTACATATTTATTATATTTATTGATCTAATTTTTCAGAAAATAAAAAAAAAAAATTTATATATAGCATATTAAAAAAATATAATATTTTGTAAATTTATAATTGTATTTTTTTTTATTATTATATTTAATGAATGAAAAAAACTTGCTAAAGAAAACTAATGCTTTTAATAAATTCCTTGCAAAATTTTATCTTAGTTTACAAAAAACCAATTTTAAAAATCTTTAAAAATGACAGAATAAATTGCAGTTTACTAAATTAACTAATAATTTTAAACTGCGATTTTCTCGAAATCACGTGATTTGCCGAACCCTGGCTTTTGCTGGACTCCCCATAGTATAATACCCTCTCCATACTTATACCCGGGGTACTACAAGCTATTCGCAAAAAAGTAATATATAGAATTTTGAAAAAAATCATGCCAATAATTAGGTTCTAAATATCACCATATTATTTGTATAATTTTAGGGGAAAGTTAATTGTAAAGTTAGTCCGGGTATTTAGTCTGCTGTTTACGGTAATCATTCAATGAGATCAACGGGTATTTATTGTGTCACACTTGATGAGCAGATGAATTTTTCAAACATAAAACAATTGCAGGGGTATCCGCCTATCAGCATCAACCTATCAAGCGTAAACGAGATAATGCTTTTCTTCGAATTCCTACTAAAGATGTGGCATTAAAGGATTCAACAAATCAATTCGGTATGTAAACAAAACATTTATTGAAATTATTAATTTTATTTTTTAAAACTAACTATAATTTTTTTTAGGATTTTCTGAGGCATCTGATCTAATTAAACGATATGATAATACTAACTTTGTAAAAAATAATGAGTCGGATGATGATTTAACAAGGTAAATTTATTGACTAAAAATAAAAAAAAAATCTTTAACATTTGTAAACATTACTTTTAAAAGATTCTTCAATAGCCTGAAATTTGTGGACCGGGAGGTTTAATATTTTCGGCGGCGTAAATAATTCGACTTATAAAATACTTTCTGGAGCAAGTATGTCATCGCCATATATAGCAGGCGTAGCGGCATTATATACTGAAGTATTTTGAGAATTTTGAAATCGAAATCAACAGTTTTACGAACAACTAAAAACTGCATTAATGAATTACACTCCTCGTGAGGAACGTAATAAATTATTGGCTTCGGTACTTCGTCAAGGTGCAGGTTTCGTCAATGCTTTTAATATGTTGCAGCAACCAGCTTTGCTTAACCGCCAAAAATTAATTTGAATGACACGGTTCATTTTAATGGAAATCGCAAATTAACTATTTATAATGTTGACAGAAAAGAGATGAAATATAAACTATCACATTTACCAGCTCCGAGTGTCAATGGATATAATAAAACTTTCATAAGAAATTATTATCAGTTGGAGAATTATACACGACAGTATGATAGTGTTAATAGTTCAAGTGTTGACGTTTCTGTAACATTTATGTTACCAAAAGATCTACCAAAGGATAAAAGTTGTTGGTTACCTAAATTGACCGTTCCCTATGGTAAATAAATTCCTCATCATTTTTGTATTTTATTATCCATTAATAATTCCTTACAACATTTTATATATAGCTGGGTTAGCCGATGATGCAAGTTCGCTTCGTTATTTCAAACACCTTTCCGTTTCGAATTTTTTGAAGAAAAAACATTATCGCTACGTTCAGATCGGTGTTCCGAATATAGCGACATAATTTTTTTACCCATATAAAATGTGGTTAGCTTTTTCAAATCCTTATATATTTTCTCGGAAAGTCTCGGTTATTATCGGCTGTCCGTTACTTATGAAATTAGCTGTAAAAGATTTATTACTAGTGGATTATCCATTTATACATCTTAATTTTGCAACTTCGACACGAGTGGTTTTTACTGAGATACTTGATGATAACCATCATCTTTTAGGATCAATTGAAAATGGTAAATGGTATTTTCCTTTTCTAAAATACATTGTAGGAAAAAAAAGGAGATTTTATTGGGATGGACTTATTCAATCCGAACCCCTTCCAATGGGAAATATTTTATTATGGTTAAAGCATTGAAAATTTTTGGTGATATTAACAACGAGAAGGACTATGAAGTTTGGGTTAGCCATAAATTTAGAATTGAGAGGATTTTATAGAAATTTCTTTTATTTCAATTAGATTTAAGCTTTTTTAAATTATTTTATTTATTTTGTAAAAGTATTCTGTTATTAAAACATTTATTACAAATGAAGTTCTAAATATTACAATATAATTTCAACATGATGTTTTATAACTTATTACTTTAATGATAATATCAAGTTTTACACATAAATTTATCCAAGTCTTGGTTTCGAGACGTCAATTAAAATATTATTGTTCTTATAAGATTTGTAAAGTTTTTTGAAATGTGTTGTTTTTGAATTATTTGTGTTTCATTCACACATCAAAGTTATATTTCTTTTGAGGAAAGCCTTAAAGACATGAAGAAGGATTAAGGTGTAAAATAGTATCTTTATTAAAATATAGAGTTATAAGTTAATCCCAAGACTTATCCAAAAACTCCTTTGAATCCCTATCGACTCAAGGTCAAATTACATGCCTTTTTAATAAGTTCTTAAATAAATACTAAATTACTCCTTTATATGTTAATAAGTAATACAAATTTTGAATAATAATATAAAGTAGATAAATATAAAATGAAAATATTTTTAAAACGATAAAGTTGCAAAGATCATCATGAAATCGGCAGTAACCGTTTGAAATGTTAAATGGAATTACGTCTAATGTATTTTACGAAATTCGTTGCCATAATTATACAATTCAGGGAAATGCAAGATTCTGCTTGTATAAAAGCTTCAGGATGAATGTTGGTTTGATTTAATTTGCTTGTTTCCAAAATTGAAAGCTTTTCAGTAAGGTCTAATTGTACAGATAATTCAGATGAATCAAGTTCCTAACAATCATAGTTGAGCTGCGGTTGGATGCATTGAACGATTAGAATGCAGATCTCAGGACGAGTTCCAATACAAATAAAAACGAGCCAGAACGTATTGAACGAATTTGTTGGCTAATAGAAAATTGAGACCTGTAGTATATGCTATTTCAAGTTATTATTATTCAAAGTGACGCTAGACTTAGTAAAAAGTGCTTTGGGAAAATCATTTAAACTTTGGTCAAATGATACAAATGATATCATTATTTATAGTTTGTGTAATTTGTCATCCAAATATTTGTAATCATGTCATGCAACCGATTGATAAAAAAATCAAAAGAGATTATCAGGACCAAAATAAGTACTACAAACCTCAAAATAATTCCTTCCTAGACGAGAACAATGTCTTTGACCTTAAATTCTCAATCTTATGGCCAAAAAGAGACGCTTATTTCTTCAATCCGTAATATTATAAAGGTTGTTTCAGTTCTTCAGAAATTGTATTCTTAAATTGTATTATAAACAAATGAATTGAAATTTAATACCTTTTATGCTTAATATTTACAAGGATTATCCCTACCAAAGCATATTTAAAGAATTTCTTCAAAATGGTAAGTGAATTTAATCTGATGAATTTGTGGGTTTTGCACTATTTGAATATAATACGTAATTTTTTATTAAAAAAAAAAAAAACAAAAAAAAAAAAGCTGATGATGCTGGAGCTACTCGGTTTCATGCAATTATCGACGGACGTTCGCACCCTGAAAATACTCTACTTTGTAATGAAATGAAGGCCTGGCAAGGCCCTGCCATTTTGTTTTTTAATAATGCAAAATTCGAGACAACCGATTTTGAATCTCTTATGAAGATACGTGTTGGCGGGAAGCAAGGCGATAATACAAAGATTGGGAAACATGGGTTAGGCTTTAACTCATGTTACCACTTTACTGATGTTCCGAGTTTCATCAGCGGCGATTCTATTGCGTTTTTGGATCCTCTCGAGAAATTCTTGCCAAGAAGACAAGGCGATACACAACGTGGCATCATTTGCCCTTTTTCAACAAATGGCATTGCCGGATCTACTGATAAGGATCAATTGGCTCCTTATATAGGCATCGAAGGCATAAATTTTCAAACGACTTTTGAAGGGACCCTCTTTCGAATCCCACTTAGGAAACAACCAAGTGATATATCCGACATTATTTATACTACGGAACAGATCTTAGCATTATTCACCCAACTTAAATCAACAATTTCCTCACAATGTTTATTTCTTCGAAATATCGAAACAATTGAAATTTCTTATAAAGTTCCATATCAAACGACTTCAATTTGTAAAGCAATCATATCAGGATCAAGTGAAAGAAGAAATGTCACATACAATGCATTTCAACCTTTCCAAATTGAAATTGAGCTAATTGATTCAATCAACATACAAAAAGAATATTGGGTTATTGTCACTGGTGCTCAACACTATCCTAATTTACTTCGTCTGCAAACTTATGCAGAACGATATCGATTACGCGTATTTGGAGGTATTGCTGCATTACGTAAAAGTTCAAAAGATAGTGAAGATGACTTTATAGGCAGAATGTATTCTTTTTTTCCATTGCCTGATACCACAGGTTTGCCATTTCATCTTAATGGAACCTGGGCTCAAGGCTCAGACCATGCAAGGTTGCTAATCGAGAATGACATGATGCCGGATTTAGATCATCAAAAACTTGATTGGAATAGACATATACTGCTTAACTTTCTTCCTAATCTTTATTGCAACCTTATTAAAAAAATCGTCGAATTAACCGAACCTGGAGAAAGAATCCATCCTGTCTCAAAGTTTTGGCTGTTTCCGTCCATTCATCGAAATTATCCCAAATACGCAATTGAATACGGTTTTAAAGTACTTGAGCTTTTATTACAAAATGATGAAATTTTGATTAGCGATAATAATGAAAGTGATCGTGTGAAGATTCTTTTCGAACATTTATCATATATGCAGATTATAAATCTTCGTAATTTATTACGAAACAACTGGAATGAATTGAGTAATTATCTTTTCGATAACATTATATAATAAAATTGAAAGGCTAATTCTCTCCGATTTATGTAGGGGTAAGGTATAATCAACCTTTAAAGTCAATGATCCGCTCACTTCCCATTTGGTCAATGCTTTCAAATCCGGTTCGCTCATTATCTATTAACTCAAATCCGTCTGAGACAGATTCGAATAAGAAACTTCTAAAACCAGCATCATGCGGATATCTTTTGCCAGAAACCCTTCACTAATATAAAATAAAGACTTCCTCAATTTTGTTGGATGCTAGTTACAAAGGTTTTCGTCGAATTTTAACCGAACTTGATGTTCCCACGCGAGACATCTACGTGTACACCTTTGAGGACGTCGAATTGCCTAGAGAGTATGATAACGAGTATTTTGAATTCCTAAAAGACATACTTAAAGAGAGTCGAATTGTTCGAGATTTAGGAAATAAACGCTGGTTTCCCAATTCAAATACGAAAATTTTAAAGAAAATCACCGAATTATACGATTATGATAACCTGGTTTTTCGGACCGTATTTGGCAGAGACTTTAATGGTTTTCTTCATCCCGAATTTTCGTCATACAAGGAGATTTTATCTACCATTGGATTTAAAAATAAAATCAATCAAGAGATATTCAAAATGTGTGCTAATAAGGTCAAAGGTTTGCAAAGGGACCAGGAACCCCCATCTGATATACGATATCGGGGCTTTATCCTGGTTGATCATTTATATAAAAATATTAACGCTTTAAATTTGGAAGGCATCGAAGGAATTCCATTCATCCCAATTACCAAAAGTTTGGGCAATCCTTACAACTTGCACTATAAACACCTCAAATTTTAGAATGCTTGAATGATGTAATACTTCCCACTTATAAAGAAGTCGCGTGGAGCCAAATGCCATTAATCGCGGAAGATGTAATACCACCTCAAAACGTACTCGACAAATATCCATCATTTGGTAAACTGGACATTTCTACTGTAATCAGACATCTCCGTTTTTTATATAAAAAGCTCCGGAATGATGACAAATGGAAGAAGTATTAGGCTGATGCATTCAAAAACAACATCAACGAGGTTTATAAATTTTTAGATGAAGAATGTCGTTCAAATGAAGATTTCGACTTGTCGGAACATATTCATAACGATCGATTATTCCTTAATTTCAATAGAAATCAAAACCCATTTCAGCATGAAAACTGGGTTACTTCAAGCGATTTGGTTTTGAATAGCGAATTTGGCGATGTGAAGTATGTAAATTCATTTCTTGCTAAATACCCTACAATGCTCAAATGTGCCGGTGCTCGGGAAATCAGGCGGCCAAATGTTCGAATTAATGTTAGAGAACCCGACCAATCACATATAAACAAAAATACATTGTATGAATTTTTGTTGGATCCATCAACTTCCTTGCATGACGTAACTTTTGTTATAAATGGTGAAAATATCAAAGCAAGTCGATATTTGCTCTCTGCAAGCTCTAGATTTTTTTACCAGTGATTGACTAATACATTTACGTTTACTATTAATGATATTCAAGCTGATTCGATGCGCATCTTGTTACGCTATTTATATGGCCAGAATATTGATGAAGCAATTCAAAAATTAAATGATAATGATAATTTTCATAAAGATACAAAATTGTCATTGTATAAAGACCTACTCAAGTTAGCAAGTGATTACAATTTAGACTATTTGAAAGAGCTTATGGAATTGAGGCTCTCGCGATTGGTTATCATGTCGAACGTAGACGAAATGAAAAGATTTGCGGAAATTTCAAGTGCCAGCCAGCTCATTGAATATTGCAATCAATTTATTCGCGATAATAGTGAGTTGTAAGAATTATTTATTGATATACTTTTTGACGTATCAAAAACATTTATAAGTCATGTAAGCATATTTTTTTTTTTTTAATGAAGCTTTAATTAAAATATACATATACCAAACCAAATGTTATTGAAATTCTTATATTTCAAGCTATGTTTATAATGTGTCGGTCAAAGCCCTTTGACCGACTGGACCGATCATTTACAGCTATTCTCAAAAGTTACAGGACAACCAAATAATATTCGAGACTCTTCTAAAAACATTTATAAGGATTCAGAAAAGCCATCCACATATAATTATAAATCAAGTTTTTTAATCGAATCTGAAAATTGAACTGTCGTCCCGTGAATTTTGAAATTAGCTAGCTGTAATTTATTATTTTTTTTACTTATTAAGTTTAGTGGCGCAGACTTTATTTTCAAAAATTAAATAAATAAATATGAGAATTTATAGTTTATGCATCTCACACAAAACGCACCCATGCGTAGAGTTTTGATATGCATGTATTACGTAATTATTAATTTATAACTATTTTTGTACGCAATTTCTTTAATATACCTTTTTCCACGATCAATTATTTATACAATTCTTTCAACGATCCTTTATAAATATTAATTACCTCTATCACTTCACTACATTCACGTCCCTTCTACTTCTTTCTTTTCATTCGATTTCTTTCACTACTAATAAAATGAGTGTTTCTGAATCTATGAAATCTTCACTAATGATTTTATTGAGAATATTCATGAAGATAGTAGATTGTAATAGTTTCACTTTGAATTTGGAAGTTGGCTTGACTTTTCTAACATGTAAAGATTTATTTAAAAATATAAATAATAGGCACATCAGCAAGGTTTTAGGGTTCGTAAAGGAAGATCTGAAAGGTAGATTCTAAACGAATAAAGCAGACCATTGTGTGTCATTTTGAAGTTATATATAATAACAAAATCAAAGAAGAATAAAAGCAAAAAATCAAAATCACAACGTGCAAATTGTCCATTAGATACTAATCGAAAGAAAAAAATGAGCAATACTTAGTTTATTGCCTCGAATTACAACTGTAATTCAAGCCCGTCGGGTGAACTACAGTTGTAATTCGAGCCGGCACCCTTCAATAGCCGTTATATTTAGAAATCATTTATTTTATATATGTATTTAGAAATAATAAAGAATGCGTAACAAAAAATTTATGCAATGCTAAAAATTTTAATAGATTTTTATTTTATACGTAAAATTTAAAATTATTATTGAAATGATTGTTAACTTAGTTAATTTAAATACAAAGAATTCTTTATTAATTAAAATTTGGTTGTTCAATCAAAATCAGTCAGTCAACCGGTCAGTCAAAAGCCTTTGACCGACTGACATGGGTTGGTGCATTTAATCGACACCATTTCACAAATAAAAATGATTCTTTAAATAACATTATTAAATTAGTCGGTAAAATAATCAAGTCGGTTATATAAATAATTATGTCTGTAAAATGATCGGGTTAAATATTTTTCAGCCATGTTCTTTTAAAACGTTTACTGTTTTTTTTGCATTTTAGTAAAAAGATAAGTTTTTTAATAGCTTAAGTAAAGATAAATGTTATGGAAGAAAAAGATTTTTTTTTTTTAGATTATAAAGTTAGTTGTTCGAAAGTTTTAAGTAAAATACAAAAAATTGTACTTAATGAAAAAAAAAATACTAAAAATAAAGTAGCTCAAGAAGTCTAAAAAAATTAATAAATTTACCGACATCCATTTTTTTACCTATAAAGCTGAATTTCCTATATAAATAGACACTTATTATATAAGCATTTGTTTTGAAGGTTTCTTTACAGAAACTGTAGATTACGATAAATGCATTTGACTTTTTTTTATTATATTTATAATTTTTTTATTTTGAAACTAGTCGATAGCCCGTTGCAAGCAACGGGAGTTAACTGCTATTAGATGATTACTCCAGAATAATCTATATAAAATAAGGAAAAAATAAATTCCACTTTTCATAAATTTTCTGCTTTCGTTTATAGAAATAAATAGTGTCACATCGCAAAACGTAGTCATACCGATCATCCTGGTTAATATGTAAATGGAAAAAAATTCGTAAAAAATTTGTATATAATTTAATTTAATATTAGATAGTTTGGAAAATTTCAGTATAGACAACATTTTCTGTCTGCAAAGGTTTATTGGTATCATTTATGAGAATTTTGATGGATTGGTATGAGGTAACTCTTGATAGGGCAACATACAATTGACAATGTGAAAAGACTGGCTCTGGTAAGTAGATGCTGACTTTATTTAATGTTTGTCCTTGTGCTTTATTAATTGTCATAGAGAATGCTAGACGGACCGGAAATTGATGTCATTTCAAAATAAAAGGTAAATTAGTATCAGATGGAGTTAATATTATGCGGGGTATGAAAACACACTTTCTGATGTGAGATCCTGTGATAATCTCCGCATCAATTACTTTGCTTTGAAGACTACAGCAAATTAACCTTGTTCCATTACAAAGACCTTCTGAGGGATTTAGATTTCGCAAAAGTATAATAGGCATTCCCAACTTTAACTTCAATTCACCAGAAGGAAGTCCATTAATCCTTAAAGATCTCAAAAATTCAGGCGAATATATCTGAAGTTGTCCTTCTATAGGATCTACTGAGTCCGCACTGGTATAGATTGCTTAGTAACTGATCTATCACGATATCTGTTATCTTTTCTGCATCAACATTTTTTGGCGCTAAAATGGCTCTACCAACCATATAATTTACATTGTCAGATTTTTGTGCTAAGTTCAAATAAACGACGTTGATAAGGTCTGTAAATTTCCTTCAGGTATTATCATAACAGAAGGAAAGGTTATAATATTTTCCGTGCCTGAATTAATTGGGTATTTACCATTTCCAATTTCTAAAAGAAATTTTGCAAAATTTCTTTGATTTTGGTTTTCTTGAAGATCGTGCGTCTGATGTAATCTCATATTAATCGTTAATCTCATCTATTCTATATGATTCCATAGAACGGACTGATGCAAACTTGCTGAGACAATATCAGCGCAGAATGCACTGATATAACTGGTAGGATTTAGCGAAAATCTCAAAGGTTTTTCCTCCGAATGGTTCGTCTATTTGGGTGATATCGCAGAATGTTCGATCAACTGCTTCAAAGACAAATTTGTGCATCATTGGGGCTTCACCCCAAACAAAAAATTTTGCTATGTTGATTAAACAGGCCTTTTTACTTCTCCGTGTGAAGACAGATCGAGGTTAATAGGAATTTTGAACCAGGAATGTGCAGTTCTACCACCGCTTATTAATAGTGCAGCAATTCCAGAAGATGCTATGGCTAATGCAATATCACCATTTGATCTAATATTAGCGAGTAAGGTATTATAAAGAAAGGTCTTTTCAGTACCACTAGGACCACCTACAAAAAAACACTTTGATTTATTTTGAATTGCTTGGATAACAGCATTGTATATAATACGTTAGTCTTCGTTTAGTAATGGTACATTATGATCTAATTCACTTTTTAATTGTACAGTATTATATGATCTTTCTTCGTGAATCAGTTGATCTAAGTCTTGGATACTATTATAAATATCTGGCACTATTTCTGAAAGGAGTGACATATTTGGAAAATCTTTCAAGGATTTTCTATTTAAATGCAGGTAATGTTCTAATTGATTAAGTGCTTCATTTTCAATAAAATCACTTACTTCACTGTCTTGATTTTGGCAAAGTTGATGATCACAGTATAGAATATCTTCATATAATGCTAATTTGTGAGTGTTCCATAGGTTTTCGGGTATTATTAGTTGGCAAAAAAGGAGAATCGTTGAAAAAAGGTGTTGTAATTGTTGTCCTGTCTGTAATTGACTTGCTTCCTGTAAACATGCATCCCATTCAGCATCATCTTGAAGTAAGACTAAATGTATACATGCTTTTTTGAAGCTTCTACATGAATGCCTATTAACAGATTTTAGATCATCAAAGCTGGTAGCACTCTTTAAATAAGTAAGTAAGGTTTAGAGATAATATCTCTCACCTTCTAAAGGTTATACTATGTAAAGTCTTCCAATAGCTCTTGTTGCAGTTTTTCAAGAGTTTCACTTATGATGAGACATATTCCAAGTGTAATGAAGTAGGAATTCTATATATTTATATATGTATACTGCAGGATTTTCTAAATTCTCCTAAAACTAAGCCATCAAGGTCATTTTATGTATGTTGAAATGTTCAATAATATTTTGCAAATCATTACCATCTTGAAAAGTAATATTTTGTTACTGTAGAAAATAAACTGCCAGTTTTTAAACGTTTGGAATACAATTATGTATTTTATAACACAAAATCTGCCAGATACTTTTAGAAGCAGAAAAATATGGGGCCTTTGCAATAGAAAGGGAGGAAACTCCAAAAAAATTAAAATTTTAGTTTATAAGCCAAAAATGTTTCAAATACTATAATTTGTTCAGATTTATTATTAACTTATTTTTTATTTTTTTTTGAGTTTCCTCCCTTTCTATTACAAAGGCCCCATATCTATCATCTAGATATATTTTAATTTCATCAATTAGTTCTATTTATATATTACTAATATTATTTGATTGAGAAAGAATGATAGTTGCTTGATCATAACCTTTATAGACATATTTGTATAGGTATTTGACTGCCAACACAGAATTACAAATCTCAACATTAATATAAGAATTATATTTTATAACCAAATCAATATTATATGGTATAACCTATCTATTATCTAATTGAACATCTCTTACTTTAATAAAATGACCAGTATCTTTTCTGTGATAAATAGGATATCTATTATGACTTTTTTAAGTATTTTCTTGAAAAGTTTTAGGATAATATTTTAATATTTACTATTTTTCATATATAGTATAGCTGGATTCATTTTACTATATAAACTATATATCATGGTATTTGCTATTGTCTTATAGGCAAAAAGATGTATTACTGGTTGTAAAATCTTAACAATAATAATAGAGTCATAATTGTCTAT